TGGACTTTCGAACGAGCCGGCCGGGTTCCGGGAGAGTCTGCGGCCAGCTCCGGGGCCCGCGCCCGGGCTCCCCAGTCCGGCCGCAGAGTGCCCACCCATCTCTGAAGTGCAGCTCCCGGAGGGCTTCGGGAGCGAGCGAGGACGACGCGACGCGGGCGAATTGCGGGACAGAAAAGGGACAGCTCCACGGAGTCTCAGCGCTCACCCCCAGAGCGGAGAAAGGGAGCCCCGCCAGGACCAGTCTTAAGGCTGGGCCTTAGGTGCTTCCTTCCCCTGGTTTGAATGTTTCCCAAGATCCCTGACGCTGTTCCCTGTCTCCGTCCAAGGGTCCCTTTGCGAAGTCCCGTGTGCGCTTCATCTCTTCCGTTCCCAAATTACCTACACATTTGTCAAAACTCACATTCAGAAATGTGTATGTTGTATGCAGATTGGACCTCAATAAAGTTAGTGTTTTAAAAAAAATAAAGTTTGTGTAAATTAATGCAATAATGCTCACTTTAGTACCACACATACTAATATTGGAACGCTACAGAGGAGATTAGCATGTAGACATGCTAAAGTTGACAGGCACATTTGGGAAGCGGTCAATAATTTTGTGAAATTTGCCACATCCAGTGAGGATGCGGTTATGGGTGCAACAGGCCTCTCATTCCATCAATGAAAACATTTCCTGTCCATCTCTTCAAGGTTCTCTGCTTCTCTGGGCGACGATTTGCTATTCTGAAAAACAGATGTGATAATGGGTCTCCCAGGCCTCCTGGTTTCTTCTCAGATTACATCTGTGGCCATTTGAGGATTGTCCTGCGTTTCAATTCAAAGGGAAGGCTAAACTGTCAACATTTCAAGAGGGGTCCAGGAAAGGCAGGCTGTAAAAGCAGGAGTCTGAAAAAGATAGAGAGGAACCTAACATTTATTGTGTGCCCATTGTGGGCCAGCAGTTTTATATGTTGTAACCCCTACAGTACCTTTTTAGAATGGGTTTTTTATTCACTCAACAAACATGTAGCAAGCACTTACTCTGCATAAAGCAGTGTAATAGATCCTTGAAATCAATGAACTGATTCTTGCTTTGATGTAGCATGCATTCTAGAGGGGGAGGGAACAGATTATAAATAATGTGATGAATAAGCATAAGAAATATTATAGTGTATGTTAGAAGGTGGTAAGCACTATAGAAAAAATAGAACAAAGTAAGAGGGCTTGGGAATCAGGGAGGGAAGGAGAGTTGACTGCCTATCAAGTCAGGTGGTCAGCCAAGTCCTCTGGGGCAGCAGTTCTCAACCTGGGGGTTGAACGACCCTTTCACAGGGGTCGCCCAATTCAGAACAGTAGCAAAATTACAGCTATGAAGTAGCAACGAAAATAATTTTATGGTTGGGGTCACCACAACAAGAGGAACTGTATGACAGGGTCATGGCATTAGGAAGGTTGAGAACCACTGCTCTAGGGGAAGATGAAGATTAAGCAACACCCCAAGGGAGGTATGTGGATTGGCCCAATTGTACTGCTGGCAGAGATACTTTATAGGCAGAGGGAAGACCCAGTGCAAACTCCGGAAGTGTGCCAGGCTGGGGGTGCGTGGGGGTGGGCAGTGTTGAGTAAAAGTCGCTTAAACCAAGAGCTAGCATGGTTTGGTCCATGGCAGTAAAACATAGAATAGAACTGATGTAGCCCATCATAATAACAAGGATTGACAGTCCGTAGTCTTCACACTTTGCTTCTTCCTGAGGCTGGCCTCCGTAAGTCCAAAGACTAAAGCCGCCAGGAGTTTGAGGGTCTATGTGCTTCTCTCTAAAGTCTCGCGAGAGAGGATAGCAGTGGAACCAAAACCTTCTCTTTAGTCTGGTCCAGGAAAAAGGAGGCTTTCTACTCCCATAAAGAGTTAATGCTCTTGGAAACCCACATGGGCAGTTCTACCTTGTTCCATAGGGTGGCTAAGAGTTGGCATTGACTGTGATGTGGTAGTTAGTTAGTTTGATCAGGCTAATATAGGTCATGTGCTCACTCCTGAACCACGAACTATGATCAAGTAAATACCATATAATTGGTATAGGCCTGGGTTCTTAAACCAATCAGTACTAAGAGGGATGGGTTTGCCTTGATTGTCTTGGTCATTTAGGAGTGGCCTTGAAGCATAGAGGGAAAGCGGAGATCTTCCTAAAACCGGTGCTCTTCCGTAATAAAGGACCGATGTTAGGGTCTTTGAGGATTCAACCGCATTGCCTGTGATAGGTTGCAGCCCTATTTTACTGTCCCTAAAACTAGTTCCTCCTCATCCTCCAAGCCTATGTTAAATGTCAGCACAGAAACGGGTATATATTAATCTTAATCCTTCCACTTTTCTCTCTTAATACTTAGCACACGTAATTATCTGCTGATTGGTTTGTGCACTTGTTTACATGTGCATCTTCAGTCTCTTTTACTAAAGTGTTAACTTCATGAGGTCAGAGGTCATGTCTGTTTTGTTTACCACTGTATGCACAGTGCCTGGCACATAGATACCATGAATATTGTATGAATAAACTGGGAGAGCAACAATATCTTTCTCACCATGACCTCTCATCCAATCTCTTGCTGAATCTGCAAAACATTTAGAAACGCCACTGTGGACTGCCTCACTCTCTCACTGTCTCACTCTCACTCTCACTCTCACTGTCTCATTCTCACTCTCTCACTGTCTCACTCACTCACTGCCTCACTCTCTCACTGTCTCATTCTCACTCTCACTGTCTCATTCTCACTCTCTCACTGCCTCACTCTCACTCTCACTGTCTCATTCTCACTCTCGCACTGCCTCACTCTCACTCTCACTCTTACTGTCTCATTCTCACTCTCGCACTGCCTCACTCTACTCTCACTCTCACTGTCTCATTCTCACTCTTGCACTGCCTCACTCTCTCACTGTCTCACTCTCACTGTCTCATTCTCACTCTTGCACTGCCTCACTCACTCACTGCCTCACTCTCACTCTCACTTTCACTGTCTCATTCTCACTCTCGCACTGCCTCACTCTCACTCTCACTCTCACTGTCTCATTCTCACTCTTGCACTGCCTCACTCTCACTCTCACTCTCACTCTGTCTCATTCTCACTCTCGCACTGCCTCACTCACTCACTGCCTCACTCTCACTCTCACTCTCACTGTCTCATTCTCACTCTCGCACTGCCTCACTCTCACTCTCACTGTCTCATTCTCACTCTCGCACTGCCTCACTCTCACTCTCACTCTCACTCTCACTGTCTCATTCTCCCTCTCTCACTGCCTCACTCTCTCACTGCCTCACTCTCACTCTCACTCTCACTGTCTCATTCTCACTCTCGCACTGCCTCACTCACTCACTGCCTCACTCTCACTCTCACTGTATCATTCTCACTCTCGCACTGCCTCACTCTCACTCTCACTGTCTCATTCTCACTCTCTCACTGCCTCACTCACTCACTGCCTCACTCTCACTCTCACTCTCACTGTCTCATTCTCACTCTCTCACTGCCTCACTCTCTCACTGCCTCACTCTCTCACTG